GAGCATAGAAAATAAGAGTTGGAGGGTAGTCAAAGATCAGTTGGTCCAAGGGTGGCTGGTAGCCTTCAGTCCAAATTTATCTCTGAGGTGTGCTTTGTTTTGTGAGATCATGTTGTTCAACTCTGCGGTCCACCGCCCTCTTGATCCTTGAAGACGCTGGCTTTATGACACATCGGACTTTTTGAAAGACCAGATTAGCAACCAATTTCTTCAACGTCTCCCAGAAAACAAGAGTGGCAAGGCTTGGACAATCCTACAGGGCCCCTGTTGAGTAGTGTAAGTTGTGTAAGAGTACAACCACCAGAGTGGGAAGGGATTCGTGTGAACCTCATGGTGAGAACTTGTGGGAGGCTTGCGGTGAGACAGAAGAGCATGTAGTAATGCTGACCTCTTGTGCTGGTGGCCCTGTCCTGACACGGCCATTTTGAGCTGAGTCCCCACTAGTCTTCTTGGTTATCTTATACTTTGACCTCTTTCAAGGTCTCAGCAGTTCAGAATGTTAATTGACATTTGAAGCACATTAGGAAGAAAATTGACCCCTGCTGGGAGGCAAATTGATTCCCCCTGCCCCAACCCCACCCCCATTTCCTAGTTCATTGTGTACAATTGATAAGGAGTAGTCAGTTGTAGGAATCCTGGTGGTGTAGTGGTTGCGTACAAGGCTGCTAACCCCAAGGCCAGCAGTTCAAAAGCACCAGCAGCTCTGAGGGAGCCAGCCAGGACTTTCTATTCCCATAATAGCTTATGAAGGGTTTTTGTTTAGTTGCCTGTTTTGCTTAGAAACGTATACAGAGAGCCGAATTTAGGAATAAGAATATGTCTGTGAAACCACAACTTTGTTAATTCATAAAACCACAGAGCATTTTATTTTTAATCGTGTTTTCTAAAACCATGGACTTTTGGAATTTTTGTTGTTTGAAATCAGTCATAAGGGAACATTCTAGATTTGCCCAGACAGAATCTTAGGTACTTTGAAAAAGAGAAGCAGCCTCAATTATCCAACCCAGGTGCAGAATTTCAAATATGAGATTTTCCAGGCAACATTCCTGTATCTTACCTTTGTAGGTTTCAGGGAAACACCACCTGGATTCCCAGCCCAATCCTGGTGTTAATCCTTTTACATACTGCTTTGATCTTATCCAAACACCACTTCCTGCATGCCATTGTATCTGAAGACCCTATGATGCCCCTTTCTTTTCTTTAGTTCAGTGGGATATGTGTGGTGTCCCTGGTGGGTGCACCAGGGTTTGTTGGGCTAGAGCTGTGCCCTTGGTCTTCCTCAAATGCCTTGTTTAGTCAGAGAAGCAAATTCCAAGAGTTTTAGAAGAGGGTAATCACCAGAGGTAACCAGTCAGGGGAAACCACAATGGTGAGAATTTGTGGCATTTTTGTGGTTAGATAGCAAGAGGATGTAGTAAGGGTGACTCTTGTGATGGTAAACCATCCCTTCATCCAAATAGTGTCCTACCTGGTGTTTTGTTAGGAACACTTGGAAAACCACCGGGTGTTGAGAGATAAGAAGGAAAGAAAGAAAGAGAGAGAGAGAGAGAGAGAGAAAGAAAGAAAGAAAGAAAACCTCCTGCAAACACAGTCGGCTTTGCCTGGATCACTCACTCTCTGAAATGACCTCACAAAATAACCTCAAGCCAAGAGTTGGAGATGGAAACGAGGAAGCTCATGAGGCAAAGGGCAAAAAGAGGATGGCTCGTTGAAAAGAGTGTTATACCTTCCATTCTTGAAGTTGAGGCAGGAAGAAGTACTGACTGTGTGAAGTTGTGAAGTTCAGCATCCGTTGCACTTAGAAATCGCTCCAGGCGGAGAGGGGGAAAGGAAAAAAATAAAAAATAAATGGGTAGGGGGGGAACAGGGCACTAACCCACCCAAAGGGAGGGTATTGTTTATATCTCCACACGGAAAGAGGGACCAGATATCAACCCGGTGCTCCAAGATGTGAATGCAACAAGGCAGCATGGAGTAGGGAACCAGTGGAGAGGTCTGAGGGACCAACCCCAATCCCAACCAAATGGACAGCTGCCCTCCCCCCAGAAGAATTTATTTCAGAGGACAGCTGTAGCTGTAGCTCAGGGAGAGGGACATGTCTGATCAGAGCACACGGGAGCAAATGAAGGGGGAGGAAGAGAGAGTGGAGCATATCCTGGTCCACCAAGCCTTGAGGCCTTGAGGACAATATACCCGCTCAGAGCAGCCAATCCACAGAGAAGACCATATGGCCGGCCCCACTATGAGAGATGACATCCCTCACTGACCCAATGCCATACAGGAGACAACACTGGAGACCCAGTGTGAGAATTGTGCCCGATCTGATCCTACCACCCCAAGGCAAAACACTAAGGGCATGCAATAGAACAGCAAGGGGAACAGAGCAACGAAGTCCCCAGGGAAAACCAAGAATAGACTTTGGGGCCAGGGCTTGGCACCCCAAGACTCGACTGGAAAACACTCCTAAAGGCCAACAAACAGTCCTTGAACTAACTACAAGCTTTTCTTTTTTGTTGTTGTGTTGTGGCTTTTTTGTTTTGTTTTGTTTTTGTCATTGGCTTTTTGTTGTTTTGTTCTCTTTTGTTGCTTGGTTTTGCTTTGTCTTGTTTTGTGCATGTTATTATCTGCAAGTTCGTCTAAAGAA